ATATAAAGGTAACACTATTTATCTGAGGTTGAAGACTGCTTTGAATTTAACTCTATCGCAGAACTTTTATTTTGAGCAAGCACGAAGGCAGCAGTGGGCAGGAAAAATTACCTCATGAGGAAGAAACCTCCACTCTAAGCCTATATAAGCATAACAAACAAACCCTAAGTATAGGATTTATCAAAAAGCAAAGTCTTAAGCCCAGTCTTAAAACTGGACAATGTGTCAGCCTTACAGACAAAAACTGGAAGTTGGTTCCGCTAGCGAAGAGCGTGGTAACTGAAAGATCTCCCTCCCATTCTGCTTTTGGAAACTCTAGGAACAGCAGTTAGTCATGCAGTTGAGAGTGAAGTGTTCTGTTAGGAAATTATAGAACAATAAGATCTCAAATATAAGATGGAGCTAGGTTGTTGAGAGCTTTGTAGGTTAGAAGTAAGATTTTGAATTAAATTCTGGACTTGACAGGGAGCCAAATGGAGAGAAGCTAAAATTGGAGAGATATGATCTCTCCTACTAACTCCAGTTAAGACTCTGGCAGCAGCATTTTGGATTAACTGAAGACTTTTTAAATAAGTATTTGGACACCCAGATAATAAACTGTAGTGAGGCAGGCCTAGTTCACTACAAAACCATTGCACAAGTCTGGAGTTGTCAGGACTTCTTGCAGACAACAGCAATAGTGAGTGTGTACACATTAAGCTGCTTCATCTTCATTTCTCACAATCTCCATGTGTGAAATCTACATGAGAACATTGAAATGGGAATTTTAAAAAGAATATTCATTGGAAAGCATTTGTACAAACGTTCTTATATCTGGCAAAAAGTCATTATTTGCTTTTGGCTATGAAGTGCAATCACAGCAGAAAAAAAGTTTTGTTCCACAAAATTTGTGTAATTGTAGTGAATGCTTTTATTTTTGTCGCTGGAAACAAATGAACATTTACAAACATGCTGTAAATACATTCATGATCTATATGTTGTAAATCACATCCTTTTTTATCTCTCGATTTATTCAGTAATAACTGTAATTATGTTTATTAATCATTAAAGCCCTCATAAATCCCAGAGACTTTACAGTTTTTGCTTTTATAAAAGCTAATATCTAATCGTTTAAAGCCCTAACAAGTATTTCACTGCCAGTCTCTTGCAAGGTAACTTGTAAGAAAAAGCTTAGTTTTAGTACCTCATAAAACCAAATTACATAGTGTGAATCCTGGTCAAAGAGTGCGCTGACAACCCAGCATATTCTCAAGGGAGATTAGTGGGGAGGGGAAGATTATTAAGGTCAAAGATTAATTGACAGCAATAAAAGATTCATGTTCATGGCAGAGTTCATTAAAATCTTCAAAGGATTTTTTAAATCAGATTTGAGTTGCTTAGAAAGGGATAGCAGTGGAAAAACCAGAAGACTAGCCCTTAGCATTAAAATCTAAAATTGTTTCATACTGTACAACATGCCTATGTATTTTTGAGTGTTTGCATGTACGTATATTTACCCTGGCAAACCATCTTGTCATAAAGCAAACCGTACCAGCTCATATTTCTACCCATTGTTAAATCTGCTGTGTGGGTGTACCGTATTGCAGCTGAATAATATAACAGTATATACTGTTGGATTTGATATATTTTATATCTTTTTTTAACTGTACACTTGTTCTTCATTAGGCAGGATCTGTTCAGTATTTTTTGTGTGCTTGTTTTGTTTCCCAGATATGACTATCTCAAATCCATGGGTGGTGTGTAAGTACACTTAAAAAACCAAAAAAACAAACAAGCAGTAATTAGTTCTTGTAATGGTTCTCCATTACATTTCTCAGTCGCAAAACTCTTTGAAAGGCAACCCGAGCTCAGTTGCATCATAATTAACAGTAGCTTGTGTATTTCCCTAGAGGTAGCAGTTTATGGGGAGGGGAAGTGCAAAAGAGAATTGAAGAGAGAGACAAAAAAATCAGTGCAGACTGACTTGTTGTTTCTATTTTATTACCAACAATGGACAAAGCAACCAACAAAACCACCTTATCAAGTAATGTGAACTCAATGCTTCTGTCCAAACTATTTTCTCTTGTCAATTTCCCTACATTTATTACTCCCAAATTCAATTTTACTCCTTGTACGTCATGTCAATTACATGTTGATGCCAGCTCTCAGTGTTGACCTATAGAAGATGTGTAGACCTGTATAGATCCAAGTCATTCATTTATATAGGAGATAGTGTGTGCCAGTTAATATTATTTTTCTTCCCAAACCTTGTATGTTGTCATCAGACTTACTAAATAAACATTTGTTCATCTACTTCGAAGTAGGTTATGCCCTGACAGAAATGTTGCTTTATACTCATAACCTTCAAGTCCGCTACTAAAGCCTGATAACTGCATGATGTTTGTTGCATCATTTACTGCCTCTCTTGTTCCTTGACTATATTGTTCATGGTGGAAACAGCTATAGCCAGCAGCACTGCACATACAATGAGAGCTTTCTACCTGCCAAACATGTTGTCTGTTTGTAGTTTTGAAAAGCCTGCCTATTATGCACAGCATCCATGAAACTTCACTGTGCAGAACATAACTCACTAAGCACACACAATTTTGGTCTGAAATGGCCAAGAAAATTAGCTGCTTTATGAGAAAGCACAGAAAATTAAAATCATACCCTATAAATTCATGTGAGAATCAACTAGTTCACATGATGAGAATAGGTATTTTTGGTTGGTTCTATATAGAACATTTTCTGTTGGAAGTATTCTACCTTGATGTTGCTTTATAAGAGGAAGTTGATATTTTTGTGGCTCTGCAGACCACTTACTAAGGTAATCAATTACAAATGAAGTAAATGGTTAAATGTATTCATGTTGGTTCATTCAAAAGGAACTCTTGTGTCTGGGAGGATGCATTCTACCTGAGGCTTTCATTGTGCACTTGCATCTGAGTCAACGCAGTGAGTCATCTCACTGAATGGCAATTAACGACAGAAGGGCTCGTTACATTTGTAAGCTGCATTGCAGCAGGCCAAGAATACTTGCAACCTGATGGCAGAAGTGAGAGTAGAAGAGCATGCCCATTTAATTTAGGAATATTTATATGTGTGAGGTCAAGATGATCATGTGCTATCATCTAGCTCACACCAGAGAGACTATTAGAAGTTCTGTAACTTTGGTACCAATCAGTCTTTTATACTTTTTTTAAACTAATAATTTGTGTGCAGAATACATTACAGTGTAAAACACTGTATATATAAATATATACAGTACAAATGTATAGAAGTTACTTTACATCACTTCAACATTCCTACTTTTTGCCAAGCTTCCTTTGTGCTAGAGATACTTCCTTGTAAAGTACTACCGGTAATTTTATTAAACACACAAAAAGATAGTGCTTAGTTTCCTTTTTCACATTGTCTTTCTCCAGGAGGGTGGTGTATTTGTGACAACAAAACAGCATCAGGACTCAGAATGCCTGTGGGTCCATTGTGGATGCCTCAGAAATAGAGTAGTATACACTGTGATAAAACGATGTGTCTGAGGGTCGATTGGATCCATTTTAGACATGGGTTTATGTCAACTTGCTGTGACTAGAGGCACTGTTCTGCGCACTGAAACCCTCTCCCAATGGTTTGGGGATATGTGTATTGATCTGAACTGACAGTACTGAAGTGGCCTCTTACATCAACCACCAAAGCACAACCCGCTTTGGTGGTTGATGTAAGAGGAGCTCCTCCTTAGGGCTCACATACAGGGCATGACATTGAAGATTGTATTTTTGTCCAAAAAGGTCAATGTGGTTATTTCAACCAGAAATTTTGAGAGCCATTTTTAGGAATGTCAGGCATGGAATTAAAGACCATCTGATTTGTCTGGTGATACTAAGTGGTGGGTCCCACAGGAATACTAGTGGTCCAAGCTCTAGCTTGTCAAAGGCTGTAGGATCTGTTGCATGCCTTTTTACTTCCCTTATCATGCTATTAGTTCCCACCAAAATAAACAAATGAAAACCATATTCTGTAAGTGGTTCCCAGCCAGAGTAGACATACTGACATAATCTTAGAGCAAGGGTCAAACAAGGTTGACTTCTTCTAGAAGTCTTTTGCATAAAAGATGAAACATTTCAATAAAGGAGACTCTGTCCAGAGGACCTGCCTCAACATTGTTAGATTAATCTACCTACACTATTGAGCATACATCAGGACACTTGCTTGCACCCAAATCGTAGTGACCCACAACCTGAGTCCTGCAGTCGTTCTAACAATACAGTAAGCCAGAGCTTCTTTTAACAGAGATGTTTAGAGTGGACAAAGCTGTAGGTTTAATTTTTATAAATCTTAGAAAATGTGAACAGTAGGTTGGAAGATTTTATACTGTGACTGATAAAATATGTCTAAATCAGGTAAATGCTATAATTTTTATTGCACTGCAATTATACACTTTGGATACAGTCTGCATGGTGTGTAAAGATAGTCTTGACTTATTAAGGTATTTGATGTTTCTCATTTTGTCTTCCCCTGTAGATCTCTGCAGGACTTATCCAAGCAGACAGAGTTGCCTTACGGGACAGTGTTGGACTCTGCAGTATATGACCAGGTGCGCTCCAAGGCTATGAACCCATTTGAAAGAGATCCCATGTACTCCCAAATGTGGCGAATGATTAATCGCACTGGAGGAGCAGATAATAACGTTGAGGATTCACAGGAAGGCATCCGTAAGGTAGGCCTTCATCTTTTTTGGTTGCTGTTGTCAATTTCAACTTGAAGACTTTTGGCATGTAATATCACAGTGGTTATTAAACCAAATATTGAAGTCGAATCACTCCTGGGAAAAATCCCAATGTATGGCACCAGGTGTGGGACAGCTGATAAATCAGTGCATGCATTTATTACTTAGTGCAAAACAGTCATATTCAAGCCACCACCCACTGGCATTTTATTTTGAAATGTTTATAAACATTTATAATTTACTGGAAAATTAGTCTGAAGAATTTCTTCTTACGTTTTTATATTTATGACCTGAAATGAAATGAAGTTTCATTTATTTAATAGAACTGAACTGATTTAAAACTTACTTACAACAAATCATGTATTTTTCAAGTCAAAATTAAGTATATCACAGTCTTATATTAAACATACTGTTTGAAAACATGGTTTACAATAAAAAAAAATGTACATTGAAGAATTAATGAAAATGTTCTTAAATTTTAAAATATATAGCTTTCTTTAGAAACATTTTAATAGCATAGGACATCATTATTCCTGCAAAAAAATCTCAGCATTATTAAAGTTCAGTTATTCTTGTTGTCATTTTGTATTTTGAGATCAGAATATTTTTTCGTTGTGCTTTGCTAAATGTTCTAAGCAGCCATGAAACAAGTCGGGCTAAAAGCACAGCACATATTGTGATTGTGTAGAATAATGTTTACAGCTGGCAAATAATTTAACTTTACTTTTCAAACAAGGACAAAAACTGTAGTGACGTTCCATGCTTTTTAGGACAAAACACATTTCACAAAAAAATTCAATAGCATAGAAAAGCACAAGAAAAGTAAACCAACAATACAAAAAATAAACTTTGAGCATATTTTTTCCCAAAACACAACATTTTATTTATCTAATAGGTATAGACTACAATTAATGCATGTATGGACCAAATACAAATCTGTTACAATGATTTGATGAACAAACTAAAAATTTCACAACATAAAGTTTGACTTAAACACCGCAAATGTTTTCACTCACCTTTTCTTACTCATGATTTATTTCATTTATTCCTTGTGATAAAGATATCAGTACATAGTTTTAACTGTAGACTATACTATCTACATTTACCAGATATATTTATATTGTCTTCTTATAAAATAAGAAAATATTTTCTATTTTATTGCTATGATCTGATATTATACATATGGTGATATATATTGTGTAAAAAATGTACCGTATTTTCTGGATTATACGTCGCTCCAGAGTATAGGTCGCATAAGTCCAAAAAATGCCTCATGAAGAGGAAACAAACATATATGTCCCTTCGGCGTATAGGTTGCATTTTTTTTTAGAAGTGTATTTCACAAAGTGCAAGAACAGATATTTAATCTAAAATAACAATAACACACAGACTGTCCATTGGGAGCACCGGGAATGTCCCGGTGGCCTGACCTGCTCAGTGGTCACCAAGGGGCTGAACCAAAGGCTCAGTTTGAGTCGCGCTTTATTATTAAAAAAACACAAAAAAAACAAGCCGCTTCTCTTGCCCATCTCACTCAGGTCTCACTGAAGCGATAGGGAAAGACAGACACCTTCCCCTGCCCCTCCCTTCTTTTTCTTAGTCTGTGTCTGTTACAGCAGAGACACAGGTTGCGTGCCCACCCCCGTGGACTTGCGCTCTCGATGGTTATACTGTAAGATTTTCAACCTTTCTTTAGACAGGTTAATCCCATTGAGCCTCGAGGACTCATTCACAAGAGAGACCTGATTTCAACAAAGAATGATGACAACAATGGACAATCATAAGAGGCATACAGATTTTTTTATGTTTATTTTTTAAACAAATTAAAATAAGATGGCAAAAATAACTAGATCATAAGGCAAATGTAGAAAACTAAAAACAGGAACATGTCTGCGTTGGTCATTGCCAGGAGTCCAACAGATTCTTAAAGCCACTTAGAGAGGTCAAGGTCGAGTTACTTGGGCACGGCACGTGCACACAGAACATACCTGAGATCCTGAACAGGCTTAATTAACATAAGCCAATGAAAGGTTTGTAGGGTCAATCATCCAGGTAGATAAGAAGGTTAACAAGCCAACAAGTCTGACAAGCAAGTTATCATCTTCAGTTTCGCTTGTCAAAAGTCTAGAGGGTCCTCTCACAGCTGCAAATGGTAATGTTTACTCTTTGGTTCATGTCAGTATGAATGAACATTTAACGCGTCAGTCAAAAATTGTGTCAAGAATAGGGAGAAAAAAAAAACGTATATAAGTCGCTACGGACTATATGTCGCAGGACTTGCCAAACTATGAAAAATAAAGTGACTTACAGTCCGTAAAATATTGTATATTTATTTTATATATTTAACAGCCCCCTGACTATATTTAATAGGCACACTAAAATCATAATTACTGTTACTTCTATATCATTGCCATACAAAATTTAGTAATAAATCCCAGTCATCATTCATGCTGTATGTCACATATAGAGTGGATTAGACGTAATCTGAACTGCACATTGGTTAATATCCAACATTTAGCTTCACCCCTTTTCTACAAGACAAGCCTGCTACAGGGTTAGTATTGTTGAAGATGGGTGATGTACATAATTTAAATGATGCAAACGGTAGTTTTTGTACTGTTTAAGTCTGTTAGAGATTTTTTTAGTATCATAGTCACCTGTCTGCTGCATCTCATCTACATTCATTTTATTTTTCATTCTTATTTAGTTTCAACGTACAATTTTTCCTCCTCCTTCAGGATATATATATAACTAGGGTGTGTCATCATTGGAAATGTTGAGAGGAATGCTAAAAGGGGAGGGTGGAGGTTTAGATTTTATGAATTTAAATTCATTGCTTATATTTAATTAGAAATATTTCTACTGGTGCTGGTGCCAAATGGGCATGCCAATTTTATTAACTCAAAAGTCAGTAAATTGCTTTATTTTTATTTTTTGGTTTGTTTTTTGTTGTGTTTTTACACTGCATAAATGGTCATTATTGTTACTGATTATTAGACATTAGTAGCTAACAACAATGAATTTTCATTAAACTGAAAAAGCATGTATCCTTAAGTGTTCTCTCATACCTCATCTTTGTTTTTAATCAAACTCGTAAATCCTATTTCTTGTAGATTTTTTTTTTATAGAAACGATTTGACATCATATCCTGAAATGTAAAGTTTCATAAAAATTGGAAGTAGTCTTGCATGTGTGTCCAGAATGCTGCTTCTTCCACAGAACCTATTGGGGGTAATTATGCAAACGAAAAGCAATTGTATAAACTAAATAAAAGGTTTGTGAACTTGTTCCTTAATGGCCCACTGTTTGACAGGAATGTAAAAGAGGGCATTTATTAATTAATTTATCATGAAATGTGGCATCATACATATTTTTCAAAACTAGGACTACCAGTTCAATTGTTCAATCAATTAATCAATCAATCAATCAATGTAACTTTATTGTCCATAACGTTCCATAAAATGGAGATTTATCTTTCAGATATAACTATCTTTGATTTATCTTTGTTTTGTTTGTTGCTTTTGGCTAACAGGTGGAATATATTGATATTTCTTATACTATTATGTAATAAAAATACTTTGTTATTTAAATGCAAATGAACGTTGATAAATATTACAGATGTGGCCTTTCTGGTAAAATAAAAAGTGTTGAAGGTGATCTGACTTCTAACAACAACATAATCTACAGCCTTTATAAGGATTACTACATTAGCATTCAACAAAAACATTCTGGCAGAATGACAAAATCATTGAAACAAACAATAAGAGTCACGTAATATAAGAATGTGAATATAGCCATACAAGCCTTATTATTATTATTTCAATATACTAGTCAGGGGCAGAGTTTATTTTTTTAAGCTTTGTGGAGATGCTGATTTCATTTTCCAGCAGGACTTGGTACGTGCCCACACGGCCAAAGGTGCTAAAAGCTGGCTATGTGATATTCTAATTTTCTGAGACTGAACTTTATTTTATTTTTTTCATTATTTGTAAGCCATAATCAAAATTACAAGAAATAAAGGCTTGAAATTTTCATTCTGTGTAATGTATCTTTGGGGGAGTGGTGGGGGGTGGTGATTCAGAGGTTAGAGAAGGTGGGCCTGTGATCATAAAATCAACATCCGATAAATATTAATAATATATAATAATATGATAATATATTTCATGTTGCTGTGTCCATTGGTCCTCATCTGCTCACACAGAGTCATGTTCGTGCTGCTGTTGTTTTGTTGCGTTGTTTTGTACTATTAGTGCTTAGCATATTAGTCTTAGTCTTGTGTATTCTTAGTTTAGAGTCTAGTATATTAATAGTTCATGACTCGGATCTTACTAATGTTTTTTATTTACAATTTTATTTTATTTACAATTTTATTTACAATTTCTTTTATTTACAATTCCTGCTAGTTCCAGATCTCAGTGGCCAGGCACTCGAGCACGCTGGCAGGTAGATGAGAATGCATCCACAGAACATCCTTTCAACTCATTTGAGATTTGGGACTGTAGTTGAGATATTATTTGAGCTTTGAGATGCTCATCAGCTGCTGTTGGTTGTAGAAAACTGCATTGTTGCCATGGTTACACATCATAACAAATTCCAAAACTAAAAAAGTTTCAGTAAAAATCCTCCCAGCTGCACAGCATCCGATACCAGAGGAAACAATCATCCAAAAAATGTGATTTTCCTCCAGAAAAAAGGAATTAAAGTTTCCAAAAGAAAAATCTCAGAAAGTAACAGAGCTACTCCAACATGCAGCCACCTTGAGCGGCGCAGTTCATAATTCTAAATATATGTGAATCCTGTAGATCATCTTAAAAATAAAAAATGTCATTGATACAATAACCTCTGAAAAGTCTTGGGACACTGTATAGCTGATTTCTGTCAACAGACTTCCTGTCAGAGTGGTAGTTCAATGAAGCTGTTTTGTTAAAACTAAGAAATGTCCCTTTAGTATTTTGGTGCTTTGCCATTGGTTCTGCACCACACGAGTTAAG